CAAAGTGTTAATAAAGATGATACGCAAAAGAGATGTTTCCACATAAAAGAGTATAAAGACTCGTGATGGGAAACAACAGGAAAGTCTAATAACTTGTTGATGTCGATGGTGCCTCGGCTCAAATATGTCTTGGTGAATTTGGTAGAGATCCTTGAAATAGTAAAATCATGCCAAGAGGAGATGGACTCGACAGGAAAAGAGTTCAAAATAGAAGTTTGAGGCTACTTAGATCGTTTTTACGGACATCTTGGACAAGAGGGATGAAAACATAGTGTTGATGGCGAAGAAAGTAGCTAGACTTGGGAAATATGAATAAGCTAAGGAGACCCAAGGTGTTATGGAGTCACATCTTCACAAGTGTGAATCCATGAAGGATTAGATCAAGTACGAGACTTAGAAACTTCTCAATGAGTTGAGTTAGAGATTGTTCTAGAGGAGTGATACGCTTGAAGCTAAGGTGATGGCTTTGAGGGAATATATGAATGGAGTGAACATAGAGCTTATCATTTGTAAGTCTTCAATGAGTTATCATGATGCGCTTAATAAATTCAAAGAGGGAAAGAGACTTTTGGAGGCTAAAACTGTAGTAAAGTCACTGATAGAGATTGCAGGAGACAAGTTAACCAATAGTGAGTCATCCAGACCCATGCCTAGAGATAGTGATAAAGATGGGAGAGACAATGATGAGGGACAGTTAAGGGATGGCTAAAAAGCTTTTTGAGTGGACAAGTAGGGCCATCGAGTGGTCATACTATGGAAAGCAAGACGAATGGTGAGGCTAAGTTTGTGTTAGAGAAGAAGAATGAGGAGCAAGCCACTGAAGTGCTACTTCTATGACGGTCCTCATTTGATAAGAGAATGTCCAGAAAAGAGTTGTCTTGCTACCATCACTAAGAGAATAGATGATCTAGAAGGGAGGTAGCAGAGCTTGCCGCAATTGCAAGTGTCAGAGCTGCCAAGCCAGAAGGGAGACGTGATATTACTGTAAGTGTTGAAACAACCAAGCCTGTAGCAAGACGAGGCGTGACAATAGATGTTAAAACAGTCAAACTCAAGGAGATATCCAATGTAATTGCAAATTTAAATGGTGTCATGATAAGAGAGAGATTTGGTGCAATTACATATTCCAAAGTAGTCAAGTCAAGAAAGAGAACCGATGCGACAATGAAGGATAAAACCATCAAGCCGAAGAAGAAAAAGAAACAATGAAAGTTCTACAGGTGTAAGTGTCACATAAGTTACGAAGATGCCCAAATTGAGTCAAGCAATCCAATAGAATGGGCAAGGTCGAGACTAGTAAGCTTATGAGGTTTGGTTCGATGGTACCCAATTAGGCTAAGATGAGTGATGGTCGAGAGTAGAAAGTATTGTCCAAATTAGAGGTAACCAAAGAGCTTACCAATGATGATTATGAGTTGAACAATATCGCTTTGAAAGTAATAGTAAACAGAGATCCAAGTGCGTCTGAACTGTTAAAGGAGCAACTTTGTTTAGTATTTGTTGATTGGAATACGTGTTTAAGTTGCACTGTCTCAAGAATAAGGGAACATTGAAAGAGCATATGAGTTAATTCAGAGAACTTATGCTCATAGTCCCTAGTTTGATTGAAGAAGACATGTTTTTCACCTTAATGTATGGATTGAAGCCATGGGCGAAGAAAGTGTTGGAACAAAGATGAGTCAAGAAGTTTTCCAAAGCCTTGACAACCATCGAGTCCATCAAACAGTTTGGTCTTAAGAAGACCAAGCTGTCCCAGGCCAAGATGAAAGCCAAATGTAATGGCAAGGGAATAAATAATGAAGGGCAATCAACAAATAAAGAATATAGTTCCTCGAGTAGCGGTGAGAATATACTTAGTGATGATCCAAAAGATGGTTTTGGAGAATATGTGTGTGAACTTGACACAAATACAAGTGTCAAAGACGCTAAGGCAAGGGTAAGAAATAAGAAAACAGAGGTTCATCGAGATAAGGAGCCACAAATATTGCTTACTTACTCGAGTGAAGAGAAGTTATTGAAGGTGATGGATGAGCCCATGATTCAGTTGTCCAAGGAAAATAATGAACCCAAGAACGATGAGGGATTAAACTTGGCTTTTTAGTGTTTATTCTTATCGAGGCGAGTAGATGCCAAAAATAGGAAATGCTAATTACGATCCAAGAAATTATCAAGGTGCTTATTAAGCATATTGGTGTTGAGAACGTCACTTCAAAGACCACCATTACAGAAGAGTTAAACAAGGTTGAGCCGTTGGGGACAATGCAACCATGGTGAAACCACCCATTTTTAAGGTGAGAAATGAGTAACATATTTCAAATAAGAAGTGTTAACGTAAGAAATAACATGAGACTTCAGAAAACAAGAATCGATGCATGCTACAAACTTCGAATTAAAAGGGATGATGCAATGAGGGGCGTTGGACTTTGTAGTAAAAAGGGTCGATGCGAATTATTGTAGCAAACTTCAAGGGAGAAGTATTGATGCAATAAGTGCTAGATTTCACAGATAAAAGAAGACTAGCATGATTTAGAGTAAATGTATCCAAAGGTAAACCAATGGGCATGCATCTCAAACAAATTCTAAATGTTTTTTGAAATCTAATTTTCATTCTTTGATGAGTGAAAGTCAAGAGCTAGACCTTACTATCTGTGTAGAGTGGCTAAAGGTTAGTTCCTTTGCCAAAGGATCGAGGGATCCTTGTCTAGGAAGATATAGACGAGTAAGAAAGATGATCCTACAAGTGAAATGCGCTTGAAGACGTGATATATTGTGAAGTTACATGGCGGTAAAAGCCAAGGCGAATAGTTCATATGATGGGACCGTAATAAGCCGAGGCGTCGAGAAGTGTTCAAATAGATGAAGTCTTATTTTGTTCTAGAGGCGCAAAGAGGGTGACATGAGTTTCAGTTAGAAAGAATGTCACAACATGCACATTTGAATATGTGACTTGTGCGTAGACACCCGCAGAAGAGGTTATTTGCGCAAACTTGGGCTTCAAAGGGCAAGCATTTGGAAAAGTTTTTGGAGAATGTTAATTCCATGAAGGATTAAGTCTGAGGTCATTTGAGAGAAGTGACGAAGGGTATTATAAGGTTCGGTTGGGGTAATTTGTTGTGTCTCGTGAAGTTCATACTGAGACATATGCGTGGATATCCGTAGAAAAGTCATACGAAGTGTTGGGCTTGCCCAGAACCACCATACCTAGCCATCCTTAGAAGTTTCCAGAAGGATGAAATTATCTCATAATTTAAGAAGATAAATACTTAAATTAACTATATAATATTGGATTTGAATTTGAAAGATTCTTATAGGATTTCAATTCAATATAATTAGTTGATATAATTCAATCTAGACTGTTAGATCTAGGGGATCTCAACAATAGGAGCCTCCCATCCTTTTGTGTAATCATTCAATTCATTCATTCTCTTCAGAGTAATACAACTTAGCATTTACTCTAAGTTTTCTCTCTTGTCGGTTTGTCACTTCATTTCTTTTCACTTAGCTTTTCTAAGCTTTACTCCTTTGTTTCTTAGCTTTTCAGCTTTGAATTTGTTTTGTTCTTTAGTTTTTTTTTTGCTTCATTGCCTATCTTTGTGACTAAGATAGCCCTGACAATGTTTATGTTTCCACAAAGTTGTTCAAGCCTTGGTGGCATGTTTAGCCTCGAGTGTGTTAAGCTTCCACATACTTAGTGAGTTGAAGTTCTCACAAGGACATGGTTAAGGCTGACTTAGGTGCCAATTCATTTCAAAAAGCGTCTAAGACCGCAAGATCAACTAGTCGAAACTCTAGCTCCGTGACAATATCATGATAATATTTACATATGTGGTAAATCATTTTATGATAATGGAATAATAATTGAATAAAATATTTGTTATATTGTTTGTATATCGACTAAAAATTTTTAAATTGAATTTTGAATCGTTTTGATGATCAACTTGATCTTCGAGATTGGACTGTAACGTTTGGGTTGGATTTATAGGTTATATTGGATGGTACCAACGCTAGTAGATTCATTAACCTCAGATTATGAAGCCCACTAGGATCACGTTTGAAAACTAATAAATAAAAATAATATTCAAATTTGATTTGATTGTCAAGAAAAAGAGGTTTAAATAAAAATAATATTCAAATTTGATTTGATAGTCGAGAAAAAGAGGTTTTTAACGAAGATGAATAGTCCCAATCGCGCACATGGCCCCCAAATTAATTACAATCGACATGAAAACAACTCATTGATTATTAATAGTAATTTAAAGGTGCCTAATTGATCAAATTAAAAACTTTCAAGGCTAAAATAACATCTAAATTATGACTTTAGGGAAAAATTAAATACAGATAAAACTACAAATGAATAAATGTGTAATTATCTTTTTCTAGACAAAAAAATACATATATATTTTTAGAACAAAAAAAATATTCATATCTTAGTTGAATGGATAAGGTGGAGTCACAAATTTGATGTTGAAATAACACTGTTTTGATGCTGTCTATATTTCCTCCCAATCGATATAATTTTGGGGCAATATTTAAAGCTTTTTATTTCATTTTTTTCTCACTTTCTCCCTCCTTTTCCTTCTCCTTCTCCTTCCCTCCAAACCCTAACATTGCTTTCTTTATTACCACCTATTTCCATTTTCCCTAACATGATTATGTATTAGTGTTGGAACAAAATATCTATTTAACATATCGATGGTTTTAATAGAAATATTTGTTTACATCATCATTTTATTCTTAATTTTATAGATTTTTTTTGAAAAAAATTAGATATTTTCCTTATTTAATAAAATTAACGGATATTATTAATTTAAAAAATATTAATTAACGCAAAATCATATATGAAAATACTAGAATATTGATATCTATCAAGTGTTGGAACAAAATAGATGAATCTAAAAGTAAGATACTGAAAAGAAGGTAAGATGTTGACTACATTGCTCTAGAAACTTAGACGCTAGCCATTAAAACACGTTATTTTATCCAAAAATAAAACCCTAAGAATCAATTACCAAAAAAGAAAATGAAGTTTTGGTGCATTCCTCTCTGCTCTAAGATGTACAGTGGAGTTCCCACATGGTGGCGAGGAACAGAGCCAGATGACAAGTGATAAGAAACACCGCCATGGAAACTAAAAACACCCCAAGCTTTGACCATTTGCTTTGCAATGCTTTGACATAACCTTCTTTACAGCTTTGGCAATTGTAGCATAAAACATCCCTATTGTTATTCCATGCATTACAATCGGCATTGCCCGATGAATCTGTTTCATTATCTTGTTTTTGCCAGAAAGTGGTGTTCACGTACTGCATGTGGCAATCTTCAGGCGGCATGCAACATCCCAACTTTACAGGGGGGAAAAAAGGATAGATTAATACAAGATGATTAGTGTTAATTATTTTGATTAGCTAAATTATGTACCTCGACGGATGATAGTTTCTTCTTGTCGAAACCGTGTGGTTTGACCGGCATCGATGATGCGGCTAAATCTTGGCAGACATGAACGTTGTAAATGCAACCTTTGATGTTGTTCCAAAGGCCATCGTCGTCGGCTTTCATCTTGAACCACAACGGCGTCGCCGGGATCTTCCGGGATTCCAAGCTGTTAGCACCGAGGAGAGCGAGGCCGACGGTGAACATCAACGTCAAGGGAACCATGACGACGATGATCCCCACCATGGGCAACCGGGTTCTCAAGAAGAGCACGCCGTTGCAAATCAAGAACACGAAGATCAACCCGATGCTGATGGCAATCTGCAAATGAGGCAACTTGATGAGCCACTCGCAGTCGTAGCTCTTCATGTAGAGCAACCAGGTGACGGAGGCGAGGATCGGGATGGAGAAAACGAACGAGGCCAAAGATAAGATGCCCGTAACGTGTTTCACACGTAAGAGTTTGAAGATGTTCTTCTTTGAACCGCTATCAGTCATGGGTGTATGTGCTTCATCCGCCATTGTTAATTTGGAAGGAAAATTGAGATTCTGGTTTACACACTGCCAGTGGAGATAAGCTAGGAGAGTAGTAGTGTTTAGTGCAAGGCAAAGTATCTAGGGAAGTGATCGCCTGCTATGTTTTTATGCAGATATCCAGTGTTGTGTGTCAAGTTTTTACCAAGTCTCGTTCTTTGCAATGCTTAACCCACGGATTTCGTTGGAGAGAAAACAGAAAGGAATTGAGAGATTGTAGGGGAAAAGTTAAACAATTTGTTTCCTTTGAATTTCACCTATACACATTAAGTGGTTAATTTGGTCCAATTATTGATTTTAGATAGGGTGTAAATAAATAGAGTATTTAATTAACAGTTTTTGATCTATTTGTATAATGTTTTTTTATGTTCTTTTATTAAGCTAGATCAACGATTATAAACAAAACTTTTATGCTCACTTAATAAACGAGCGAACATGAAGTGTGCTCATTTATCGACTCGTTCATTTATATTCATGAACAAGCTTATTTACTCGATTCTCCTTTTTCTTTTATTTTTTTTTACAGTTTAAATATTAGTAAATGTAGGAACAAAATTGAACACATGGTAAAAGTTAAAATTTAAACTATAAATTTTAAAGAATTTAAACATTAGTGTTGTAATTTTACTATTTTTAACTTGAAATGAAAGGGTAAACCTAAAAACTCAACATATAAACTAACAATAAACATATACTAAATGAATACATTCACAAACATTAAACAAACATGTTCGTGAACAATAAATAAACGAACATGAACGCTTAAAAAACAAACAAACAAACAAAAACACGATATTAAAAATTTAAACGAACACGAACCGAACATGAACAACTTAAAAAATAAACAAACAAACACGAACATAACATTATTCATTAGCTTAGTTCATTTATACCCCTAATTTTAGATATCCAAACTGAATAAATCAATTAATTCATCGCATATATGTAACTATTATAATTTTAGTATAAAATTAAATATTCAAAATGAATTAATTCAATCTAATTATTTAAATAAAAAAAATTAAAAATATCAGGAACCAACTCATCTAAGTTGAATATCATATCCAAGTTTGACCCATAAACTTGTAGTATTTAGCACGTCAAATAACCCAACCGTAAATTTTATTTTTATCTTTTTCAAGAAAACTACTCATTTTTTTCCTATCAAGTTGATGAATCAATGATACAATATCTCAAATCATATATTTTTGAACACACACTTTCTATTACACTCACATTTCTACTAATATTTAGCACAAACTTTTAGGACATTTTTATTTGATAATTGAACTTTTAAAACTTGAATGATTGAATTTTTAATTTATTTTTATTATTATTATCACTGCTATCAACTATAGTAAAAAATATTGATGCATCATATTATTTTTTTCTTCTCTCTTTTTAATTCATGGTTAAATATTTCTATTCAATATTTGATTCCAAATCTATCACTCACCACTTCACTATCCCTTCCGACTTAATTTAGGAAGAGTTCTACGAGTTGGTCACTTAAGCTATAAGAAAATATATTTCAAAATTTTATTATCACCAAAAAATATCAGTATAATATTTCATAGGGTGCTAATTATGGTAGTTCTAATCTTTTTCTTACCAATAGCATTTTATTATAAAAAGTAAACTTAAATTATATGTCTCATTAGGAAAAGAGTATATATAGTCACGCAAACCGAACACATAACCTAACATAAAAGCCGTTTAACAACAAACCAAAGAGTCTACTAGACCCAAAACTGCAAATTCCCGGACGCCAACAAGAATAAATGAAAAACAACTCCACTTGAATCATTCGAACAGAAGAAATAGAGCTTCATAGTGAACCCGGGAAGGAGTCCATTTGTTCGGATATTCAGGATCGAATATTTTGGGTTCATGATATTGCTGGAAATCTTGGGGGTCAAAAGGTTGTCGTAGCTGCTGGTCGATGTTAAGGAGCTTCAAGTTTCCTTTAATTTCGATAAGATTTGGAAAATGAAAGTACCACCTAAAGTCAAATCGTTTTTATGGATGCTCAAAATTAATAGGATTCCAACGAAGAAGTTCCTATGTTCGAGAGGTGTTCAATTAAGCTCAGGTCTCGAATGCCTTCGGTGTGAGTCAGGTATTGAAAATGTGGACCATCTTTTTGTTAACTGCAGGTTTATTAGTAGCTTTTGCTGTGATTTTTGTGCTTGGTGGTCGTTAGGTAGTGTTACAATCAATGGTTCCATTGATGACTTGTTTAATTGTTGTTTCAATGTGAATTGGGTGCGTATTGCTAGATCGTTGTGGTTAGTATCGGTTGCAGCAGGTCTATGGAGTATTTGGTTGGCTAGGAACGAAAAAATGTTTAAGGATAAGGTGATTAGTTTAAAGGAATTGGTTTTCAGTTCCAAAATGAGAGCATTTATATGGTTAAAATCAAGAAATGTCTCGGAGTTTTTTGCTGAGGGTGATTGGTGGTAGTAGTTCAAAACCGAGCCAGTAAAAGTGTATCGGAATGGTGTCCTCCTTTAGCAGGTTCAGTGAAGTTTAATGTAGATGGGGCTGCAAGTTGTGTTTTGGCTGGATGCGGTGGGCTGCTAAGAACGGATTCAGGTGAAGTCAGGGTGATGTTTTCTGGTCCAGTGGAGTGTTTAGGTTTGGATTTTGCTGAATTGATTGCTATCAGAACTGCGCTGTTAATTTTCGTAGAAGTGGGCTGGAGGGGTAAGTCTTTTTTAGTAGTGGAATCGGATTGCCAAGTGGTGTTGAATTGGATAGCTTATCTACTTATGAGGCCATGGAAATGGTGGAATATTTTTGATGAGGTGGTTAGATTGGCTAGAGCCATTGACAAGATTCAATTTTGTTATATTCCGAGAGCTCAAAATGGTATGGCGGACTTCTTAGCGAATGAAGGTATGTCAAGGGCTGAATTATTCAAAGATTGTGGTGGGGTTTCTTTGAGAGAGTGTTTTGTTTTATCATTGGTTTGGGTCAGTTCCTGGCGCTGTTTGTGTTGTAAGTAGACGGTTCCTGGCGCTGTTTGTGTTGTAAGTAGACGATGGTCTGCGCTTCATGTCTGTTTTGTTTCGTACTTTTGTTTATTCCAGGTTGTTGAGTATTGTTTTCCTCCAATTAGGTGTAGGGAGGTTTTTAATGAGGCTCACAATCTTGGTTTATATTAAAAAATTTATTTGTTGTGAAAAAAGAAGAAGAAAGAATTGAAAACCTTGAAAATAAAACAAACTCGACATTCTTATGTATCAACCACAGAATTAATGAATGGAAAGCCTTACAACGAGAACAAAACATCCATTCCAAAGAAATGAGCCAAGGTCCACACCACCATCAACCGCACAAAGAGGCAATATCAGAATAAACAAACTCCAAACAGCTAGTAAAACCAGATTACTCAAACTCCAGTATGATTAATCACTGTAGCGAGCTTCAAATAGAAGCCACACCCCCGAAAGGATATATAATGAGACTGCTTTCACCACCACACTTTGATCATAGATTGCCTGTGCATTCCTGAGTTAACGAGGGAGGCTGCTATTAAATTGTAGCTTCTATTCGCATTGATAAATCGGATCTTGACGATCGTACGAATCAGTCGATCCTTTTTTCTGTTTAGAACCCGTCATATCCTGTAATTCCAATGTCATGTGCATCACCAACGATAAACATCACGACACTAATCAAATGGGTAAATTTCCAATGAACACCTTCTCATTTCGTGATACCTAAAAGCTCCATATGACCATTGCTACTGAGGTTAACTACAAACAACTTCACTTGCATTAAACACCAAACAACGAAGAACTTATTCCTCGTCATTATCAAATTTATGAGATTTGCACTTGAAAGAAGTGTTAAGATCATTCGATACAAGGAAAAGATGATCCTCGATAGATGATGTCAAACTAAGCTCCTTACTCCAGTTGCTTCCTTTACCTACGTGTGAAACCATCACACGCTAAGCATACACTTAGTGAGGCATTTTCATAACTAAATTAAAACATATCGATATATAAAATATCATACAGTAATATATGAACATATGAAACAAACTTATTAAAGTCATTCTCTCATCATATAATCTGTAAAACAATAGTTTATATATAAAACATGTCTTATCAAATTAAAGATTTACTTTCAAATGAATCGATCAAACCTGCAGTTTTCAAGTTTCTTTTAAATCATAGCCCAATGTATAACAAATAAGAATACAGGGTGTGCGAGTCACATGAGTATGCACAATATGCAGTTTTACTACCACGTAGATAAATTGCACTTTTAGTGCCACATAGGATGTACATGTACGGTATAACATATCATTGTTGCACCAATAATTAGGAATATCACAATGCCGAAGTCACATCGCATCATCAATTCTATATTGCACAATTAGTACCACATAGAATGTACAAGTATGTACCAATTAGGAATACCATAGTATATCAATACTATGTACCCAATATAATAATTACTCCATCTCTTGACATGTCAATTATACCAAAGACTCTCAATGTACATACAATGAGTATTTTATCAAAATCAAATATAATTCATTTATAAAAATTTTCATAAAAACATATATATGTCAAAATACCATATAACAGTGCATTGGGCAATTCATACTCGAAATCATTTTCTTTTGAAAACATGGCTCATCACAAGCCTTCCTTATATAATATATAATAATGTAACACCCTAAACTAGTACGACACACAGTCAAACGATTAGAGTGTTACACAGAACCACTGAAGTGGTTGACCAACATTTTTCTCATTTCTCTTAATTTAAAATGATCATTTTCATAATAAAATAAACCATATAATATAATATAAAATTTACATTGGGGAGCTCCCAAAATAAATGTATACATTCAAAAATAATACAGACCGACTTATAATTGAATTGACGACTCACCTTTACAATAGGGTCTATAAATATACATGTCCTTAAAAACGTGAGACATACTCTGATCTCCACTTGGTCTGGAC